AGCACCCTTAAGTAGTGCCAAACAGTCGGTGGTTCCTCGTTTGGAGTGCCAACTGCACTCTTAGGGGGGCACTCGGTTCGGGATGTCTGTGTTGCCTGTCGGTGATGACGGATGGTCATCGAAGTGTTTCCCTGGCTCAGCGGGTGGTGGGAACCAACAGTCTACAGGGTTCACCCGTGATGTGAGTAGGTGATGTGCTGCTTTGCTCCATGTTGGATGTGTGGACGTCCTTGTCTGCGCTCCGCTGTTGCCCTGCTGCCTGTCTCGCTTGCTTCGCGTGCGGCTCTCTGCGAATTGCTGTGTTCACTGCGTGGTGTGGCCGTGTTGTTGGTGTTGCCTTGCGCTTCGCTGCTTCGCTTCCGTGTTGCTCATCCGCTGGCTGTGCCTTCCGTGTTGCCGCTTGTGTACCCTGTAGTTGGGTGGCCTTGTTGCCGGTGCCTTGTGCTCCGCTCCATGGTTGTCGAGTCGCTGGTCCGCTTACCCTGTCATCCCTTGCAGTCGTTTTTGGCGTTGTGCAGCCTCGTTGCCTCTACTGTGTTGCCTGGTGCTTCACAGGGTTGCTGCTCGCTGCTGTGTTCCGTTTGGGACAGTCTGCCTTCAACAAGGGTCAAAGGGTTCATGACCCAAACCATCAAATACGGAGATTCCGCAGATTGGTGAGGGTTCAGCCTCCTGATGAGTCAGTGCAATTCCGACGAAACAATCTTGTCATCATCAGCTTATTTTTTTCGGTCTTCCGATTTACTTGGGACTTATTTTTTTCAGTTTGCCTGCTTTCGTGTGCTTGTGTGCCCGCTTAGTATTCTTGTATGTTCTCTGCCCTCCCGCCTCCCCCGTGCCCTCCGGCCTTTGCTTTGATGTTCTTTTGCTTGCTTTGCTCTGATGTTTTTCTTGTCTACCTGGTCTTAGCTGCTTCCCCCTTGTCCTCCAGTCGTTGTATTGGTGTCGAGTCTAGTCCCTGGGGAAAACCATGTCTTGGTTTGAATGGGGTAAGTAGCATGGCTTTGCACTGGTACTTGGGGCAGGATGGACGTACGATTGCATGTGCTCATATTTGATGGTGTAATCTGCTTGCGGTTATGAAAAATTTCCTGAAACTTTCTCTGTGGTATGGAACACGTTCGTTTAACGTGTTGGATATTTTTGCTGGAAAGACCACAATGTAGTTTATGGATTCTTAAATTTTCGGATTTTTCTACGAGTTTCTCTTAGCATAAAAAATTGCCAAAATTGTCCCTTGCACTGAACGTCTATTTTGTTGCGCCTCCCTGGAGAGAGAGAGAGAGAGAGAGAGAGACAAACACCTGTCTCTTATACACATCTAGATGTGTATAAGAGACAGGCATAATCAATACCTTACCCTTCCCGAACCACATAAACAAACGAACTACGGGCTGCGCACCCGTGCCCTCACGGTAAGTCAATACATATGTGTATGTGAAAGTGAGTGTGTATGTATTGTCATATCCGTTATGCAAAAAAAAAAAAGGCATGACCATCAGTCTGCCCAGGATGCATTTGACTGATGGATAAGGACTCACCACATCGCCCACAGTTAGCGATACCCCTGAGAAAAGTGGTATGCTTTACTCAGACCAGCCTTG